GTGTTGCGCCCGCACCTCACTCAGCCAGTGAGCAGGAACCGGTCTGTATGTGGGATCCCACCGGGCCGGCCAACTATACAACTTCTTTGACTCTACTTCTTCATTTATAAATTAGGTATGAAAGAGTCCCCCCACCTCATGAGTTAAGACAATCACAGAAAGAACTCTAGTAGACTTAATGTACTATACAAATATAAAACATCATTATTATTGGTACAAAATAAAATCATTTCTTATACCATTCTTCCCAAATAAGAGGTACTACTTTTCTCAACAATGAGATTATAATGACATAAATTAGTAACAAAATCATTTCCATTTTAAGCTTAATCATACTTTGGGGGCAAAACAATGGTATTAGTTTCAATTTACACTGTTAAAATTCAAAATCCTGCAAGTGCAAGAGAATAAACAGATCAGTACTTAAACTGATTACCCCCCCTTTTAAAGTTAGAAGTTTCAGCCTATATTGTTCAAAGAAGTAATAATCTCCTCTTTGCACTACCCCATGAAGATTTGTCTATCAAATTATTTGGATTTAAAGGAGTGATTTAGCAAATCAGATACTAAACTAAATCAAGAACTTAAAAAAAAAAATACCAATTCTATCATCAGTCAGTATTTGTAAAGCACCCATAATAAAAATATTCATTGACAAAGTGCAAATATTAATATAGTTAATGGACTGGACTGTATTTAAAATTATGAAACTCAGTACTACCTCATTTTTAATTGTCCACAAGTTCTAGTTTTCCCTTTAAAATATGGTACATTGGTAAAAGCATTAAGGTTTTGTAAACAAGTTACCTTGGAGAAGAAAGTCGCCTCCTCTCTGGTTCTCTTCGTTTTCTTTCTAAGGATCGGCTCTTGGCTCTTCTACCAGGAGACAGAGTCCGAGAAGGTGATTTGCTCTGTTTAGATCTTCTATCATTTAAAAGTGGAGATCTACTTCTTCTTGATTTATCACGTTGTTTTGGAGACAAACTTCTTCTTTTAGGACTACGACCCGGTCTTCTACTGGGTGATCTATTTTCTTTCCCAGAAGAAGCATCTTTAGAGGGAGACTTAATTGGCTTCTTTTCTTTATCAATTTCAGACCGTTTTGATTTTCTCTCTTTGGACCGTGACCTTCTGTCTTTGGACTTACCTCTTAAGTCAACTGGGGATCTGGATTTTTTACTTCGATCACGACTTCTACTTTCATTTATAATTGGAGATTTTTTCCTATCTTTTGACTTACTTTTATCTTCAATTTTAACCTTATCATCAGTAGGAGATCTGGCTTTCCCGACTTTCTCTTGAGATCGCCTTCTAAGGGCAGGGGATTTTGATTTTCTTGCTTGATCTTGGGACTTACTTCTCTTGGATGGACTTTTAGACTTTTTCCTCTCCTTTGACTTGCTCCTAGTTGTCTTTTCTTTTACTACTTCAACACCTCCCTTACTTTTCTTTTTATCCGACCTATGTCTAGTCCGTTCTTTGGATCTGCTTTTACTTCGCTTTTTCGTACTATTTTTACTGTCCACAAGTTCAAGTTTCCCCTTTGTACTTGAAGATCTAGTACTAGACCTATTTCCATTTCTTGCCTTTTCATGTATTTCCCCCTCTTCTTCAGAGCCAGACTCATAACCTTGTAAAATTAGCCCCATCCCGGATTGGACCTTTCCTTCCATTAACTCATTATCAAGTTCAGCTTTAATCAAGGCTCTCTGTTTTTCCAAGTCTTCTAGCAAAGCTAAATCATCGAGTTTAGTTCTTTTTGCTGGAGACATACCTTCTTTGTCAGAAGCATCAATAACCTCTTTTCTTTTGTGTTTCTTATGTTTATGCTTATGTTTATGCTTTTTATCCTTGTCTTCTTCTGAGGAATGTTTATGTTTCTTATGTTTACTTCTGTGTTTATGCTTCTTTTTTTTGTGGCGACTGTGCTTATTTTGAGATTGGTCTTCTGATACTTCTCCATTTTCTTCATTTACACTCTTCTCAGAATTATCAGCATCTTCCATCCTATAAATGTATGAAGCACATTTTAAAATCACATCATCTATTAAATATTCAGTCATAACAAAATGACTAATGATAAAATATATCTCAATGTAATACATAAAGTTAGTCACTAAAATTTTTTCAGAACAGCTTCAGATACTTTATTTCATAGAAGGTCAATGGCAAGAACTCAGTTGGGTGGTGATATAACCAATCTGTTTCTAATGGTTGAACCCGTACACTGAAAGTATTAAAGGAAATACATAATGAGGTGAAGCTAAAAAAATTATTTAACTGAAAAAGAGAATCCAAACCAAGCACAATAAAATCTCATTAGTTAAATCTCATAATTTAGTTAAAACAGTCACTCGGTAACTTGATTTTTAAACCAGCATTTTCCACACATACTTAAATAGTAAAGGACTCATTTTTTTCCCCCGTAAAACATACTGACATTGGGAGACTAATCTTCACTTGAAATTTGGAGTATCTGATGTCTCTGCAACAAACCTAGCAGTTCATTCGTTTTGAGCAGATTTCATCTTATACCTCAATAACCCCCTTTTTAAATGTCTAGAGCCAATATAAGCACTCAATGAGCATTGATGGCTGATGCTGATGTTGACAGTGTAAACACATACTGGAGGGTTAAAACTTCAAAGAGAACCAGAAAGTAGGACTCTTGGCCTGTAGTTGCCACTAAACAACCATGTTTATTAAGTTGAACCAAATAGAAGGGCTTTTTGTAGGTCAACAGTCTAATATCAGCAATTTCAGATGGTTCGATCCAATATTTGTTCAGCAAGTTATTTAATCTCTCTGAATTTCAAATGAGAAATTA